CTTATTAAAAATTAATCGGAATATTGTAGGTATTTTTGGAATTATTTATTTGGAAATGCATGTATGCTTAGATTTCAATTATTTTTCATGAAATTTAATATTAAAACAATTGGATGAATTTTTAATTACACTATGCCCAGATAAGTATAGTGGAAGATAAAAACTTCATAAGAAAAAGTATAGTGGAATTATTTGCATTTTGCTCTTGAATTCTCTTAAAAATTCTTAAAACTTTTCTATTTCACAGCTCCTTTGAATTAGATTCGTTTTGTAATTAACATACTATAATAAATATAGCGTCTCACTTCAATTAACATAATATTTCCCATACTAAATCTATATGAATAAAAATTCAATTTTACATTGCTTTTGTACTCGAGCTTTCTTCTACTACTTCTTCAAATTCAAAAACAACCTCGAACTCATCACAAATTACTATATATATAATAGTAGATTAAGGATAACAGTTTTAATAAATTTTACTTTAATAAATAGGATATTCTCAGGAGAATTAGAAATATCGTCATTCTAAATAACCAAGTGTTATTTCTAAATTAACATTCCTGCTCTCATTCACTTCACTAATAATCTGCTTCTATAATCTCCACCCAATCAAACAAAATTTAAACAGTAATTATATGGAAATTCTATTTTACTTTATTATTTAATTTCATTATTGTCATATTATTGCTTAATCAAATTGTATAAATATCAAATATTTTATTTCAAAAAATTATAAAAATTAAAAATAATTTTAATTTTGTGTTTTAAAATCTTTATTACAGATTTGAATTCAAAACCAGCAATAATGTTCTATTATAAATGCTAAAAAAATTGATAAAATGAATTTAACAAGCTCTTCTATTCCATCTTAACAAATCGCAATTTTGTTTAATTTGTGTTTCAAAAATTTTATAATATTCAATTATATTCCGCACAAAAATAGTTTAAATAAATTTTATTATTTAAAATTTTAATAGAAAATCACAAAATAAATATTTAAAAAAATATTTTAAGTGTAATACATCATACAAAATAATGATAAGTTGAAAGAAATCTATTAAAATATTTTAATGGTGGATGAAAATTGCAAATATATAATATTGTAATAAAATTTTCAACTGTCCTTTAAAAACAATGACATAAATAATACTTGAATATGCCAAACTAGAGTACACTATATATTTCAAATTTGTATATGAATGTATGTATGTGATAATATAAAATTTTTTATAATATAAACTAAAATATTACAAAATAACTTATAAAAACATAACAAATAAATATTACAAATTACAAGCCATATATACATTAAAACTTACACACCCACACAATCACGTGTATTGATTTCTATATACATCTACATGTATATATGTATATAAAAATTTTATATTAAAATTTGATTGTCATATATTTCATTATTCGATGGATTGAAAGAAAGAAAATCCTTTTCTTTTATTTTTTTTTCGTTTTTCTTCTTCTTTTCTTTTCTCATGTAATTCCCACCTTGACATAAATATAAATCACCGTATAATAACCGTACAATTTTAATTTTTTTCTTTTTTTCCATTTCGCCTTCTAAAATTTATGTATAATATTTACAGTTATTGAAATACATGTAAACATACTTATATTTACTTTACATATACACATATACATACGTATTATATATGTTACAATATATTATTATAATATGTACATACATATAAGAATAAAGGATATTAAGTTTATTTTTTTATTGTAATATAAAATATTTTATAGAATTATTATGAGTATTGATTATTTGCGCATTGTATTAAAATATAAAATAAGCTATTATATTTAAAAAAGAAAAAGCTTGCCAACTATATTTTTTTGAATTTATACAATAAAATATTTGTAAATGTAATACAATTTTCATAATTTTTCTTATATGTTATATAAGAAAATAAGTATATTAGTTCTAAGTAGCTTCAAACATATAACAGCACAATTGTATAACAATTATGATTATCCTATACTAATCTATGTATAGGAAGGAATAGTTAAGAGGAGTAATGTAACGCATACTCATTACAATAGATGGCTTTATACTTTTATATATACGGAAAATAAATTTCAAGTTCTTAATATTTCCTTTTATATTTATTTACTTATTTTGTTATATAATAAAATTATATATAAAATTCTGTTATATTTTATGAAAGTTTTATATTTAGAACTACTAACTGAAAATTTTTCGATTAGATATATTAAAAAAGAAAACAAAAATTTAATTTAAACTAAAATGTAGTTGAGGAAAACCTTTTCAATAAATCAATTCATATTTATAACCATTTTCTGACAATTAATATATTATTATTACTATTATACTATTTTGTATTCAAAATTTTATACAATAGGCTCGAAAATATTAATTGTAATTATTATACTAAGAGAAAATTTAATATTTAAAATATTTTATTAAATAATTTTATTAAAAAATTTATTAATATTAACTAAAAATATTAAAATGATAATAGAAAAGAAAATAAAATGGTAATCCTATGTCATACATAGCATATTAATACATATAAAATATTAGAACTCTTATATTATAAATTACAACTGTTCAAATATAACTCTTTTCCCAAATGTATATATATACGACTACAAAATTACAATTTGTTTGTATGATTTGAAAATAATAAAAAAAAAAAAATAAAGTAGAAATTATGTATGAAATTTCAACTTAGCAATCAAACTTCTACAATATTTACAAATTATGTAATTAAGTTTACATCTAAACATTCGTATAATGGTTATGAGGTCATAAAACCATTTTACGTTCTATTATTTTCTACTACTTATTATATAATATGTATAATAATATTATAGGTACATAACTGTTAAGTATAATTGTTTTTTTACTTATTTTTATATTTATTTTCCCTTTTTCTTTTTTCCTTGTTATTTTTATTTATTGTAGTTTTTATTTTCTCAATGATTATAAAAAAAAAAATTCTCTTTTATTTTTTTTTTTGTCTTTTATCAACGTCTATATGTGTATGTATGTATGTATACCACTTTAATAATTTAGTTTGAGTTTTCATTTAGGTTAAGTAAATTATCACTGTTTTATTGAGAATAAATCTTTGTTGAAAAAAAAAATAAAAATAAAAACAGACAAATTTGTTTTTCAAACTCAATAATTTTTCCTTTTATTTTATTTTTATTATTAAATTATAGAACTTTCGAATTTATTTATTTTCTAATCTATTTTTTATATAAATTACATTTTTTAATTAAGTATTGAAAAAATAATAAATGTATGCAACATAACCAATAATTAGAAAAATGTTTCATCCTAGATGTATGCAATGTTAACTGTTTTCTTGTAAATTTCAGATTTTTGTTCTAAAATTGCATATTTTAAATTACAATGAAAGCAAATACGAAACATAGTTCCCATATAGTGTTGATAAGTCAAAAAGCATACAAAGTTTAAAAAAAAAATTTAATTCATAGGCTAGAGAAAATTAATTCAAAAAATATTTAAGAAATTTTTTTAAATTAATTTACATTAAGAAAACCTATAGATTATAAAATAATTTGATTTATTATTGAAAATTACTATACCTTTAAATCGTATCCATTCAGATAAATTAATTCAAATTATTATTTTTAGATTTATAAAAATATACATTAAGGTCTAATATTAATATTTCAGAGATAAATCAAAAATCTTTTAAATGAAAAAGTCAAAAATAATTTGTACTAAGGGAATTTCACTTGAATAAAACAAAAATATAAGAAAAATATAGAAAGTATATTCAATTAATTATAAAAAAATTTTTTATAATTAATTGAATATACTTAGGCATACATAGTAATAGCTACTCGTATGCCACATTAAAAACTTTCTTATTAAAAATTAATCGGAATATTGTAGGTATTTTTGGAATTATTTATTTGGAAATGCATGTATGCTTAGATTTCAATTATTTTTCATGAAATTTAATATTAAAACAATTGGATGAATTTTTAATTACACTATGCCCAGATAAGTATAGTGGAAGATAAAAACTTCATAAGAAAAAGTATAGTGGAATTATTTGCATTTTGCTCTTGAATTCTCTTAAAAATTCTTAAAACTTTTCTATTTCACAGCTCCTTTGAATTAGATTCGTTTTGTAATTAACATACTATAATAAATATAGCGTCTCACTTCAATTAACATAATATTTCCCATACTAAATCTATATGAATAAAAATTCAATTTTACATTGCTTTTGTACTCGAGCTTTCTTCTACTACTTCTTCAAATTCAAAAACAACCTCGAACTCATCACAAATTACTATATATATAATAGTAGATTAAGGATAACAGTTTTAATAAATTTTACTTTAATAAATAGGATATTCTCAGGAGAATTAGAAATATCGTCATTCTAAATAACCAAGTGTTATTTCTAAATTAACATTCCTGCTCTCATTCACTTCACTAATAATCTGCTTCTATAATCTCCACCCAATCAAACAAAATTTAAACAGTAATTATATGGAAATTCTATTTTACTTTATTATTTAATTTCATTATTGTCATATTATTGCTTAATCAAATTGTATAAATATCAAATATTTTATTTCAAAAAATTATAAAAATTAAAAATAATTTTAATTTTGTGTTTTAAAATCTTTATTACAGATTTGAATTCAAAATAATGAAAAAAATTACTCTAATTTTTTATCAAATAATTCACAATCTACTTGATTTCATATATAAGAATGGGTGGTTTATGATGATTTTAGGGTGTATGTACTATACACTTTTCATATTATAAGATGTAAATCATTCCTAAATTTTTCCTAAATCTATTTATATTTAGTATTTCGGTTTGCTTCCTGTTTAATATCCGTGTAAAAATTTTAGTATTAAAAATTAATCTTAAAAATTTTACACAGATATGAAACAAGAACAAACCAAAATACTAAATATAAATAAATTTAGAAAAATATTAAGATAAATTTACATATTGCAATATAAAATGTTCATAGTAAATACACTCTATAGTCATCATAAATCATCTATTCTTGTATATGAAATCAAGTATAGATTGTTAATAATTTGATCAAAAATTAAAAAACAAAAAATCCTATTTAAAATATCTTAATTTTTTTAAGCCAAAGATGGTGGATCAACTGGTGGTGTCCATACCCATTCTGATATCGGAACACATTTATTTTTTGTTCCGATGAAAAATTGTTGATCTGGACATTTAGCTTCTGTTGCTGGTACACGTTCTTTACTGCATATCCAATATCTTGTTGGATCAAAATTATTTCTCCAATTACGTTGTTCTAATTCTATTCTTGTTATACAATTTGGTCTACCATTATGACCATGTGTATATAAACTGTATGCTGTATTAATAATTACAGCTAATACAATCAAATAAATTGATAATTTCATTTTTTAAATTTATTTATTAAAATTTTTATATTAAATTAAATTAATTAAAATGCCTGTATATTTTTACTGATTTTTAGAATTGAACTAATAGTGAAATTTAGAAAGTTGTAATATTTATATAAAAGAAAAAAAATTTAATTACAATAAAAATGAAGAGATAAGCATAATGAAGTTAATTTACTATATTGTAATTCAACTGATAAAAATTTATTTTTAAAATTAAAAATAGTTATTTATATTTAATAATAATAACAGTAAATTAATGATAGTAATAAATATTATTTCGTAGAATTTTTGTGTTTTTTTTTTATCATTATTTTAAATGAGGCATTTAAACTCTTTTCAAATAAATGTATATTGTACACATATACTCGTATATAGGTATATATGAATACGGTATAAATGAGTGCCTATTATAAAATATAATATAATATAATAATTTGTGACCGCTTAAAATAATTAAATCCCTATATAAATACCAATAATTGAACTGAATTCTTATTAATACAAATAAGATAATTATTGTTATATAGTGTTGGTGATTAAAAACACTTGTGACAACAATATTCACATATACAATAAATATATAATTTAAATTATATTTTAAATATAAAAGTATATAATATGAAAATTTTGTGGTTTTTTCCCTTAATTTTAATATTTAAAGCATTTTATATAGATTCTTTATCTTTTGTTTAAAGATTTTTATTAAAAATGTATAACAGTTCGTCGTTACCAAGTCAGTTAAAATTCATTTAAGTTACAATTTGCGCAAAAAAAAATTTTGTAATAAAAATACAACAATTGATCAATATTTATCAGGTGATATCTAAGTATATTGTAATAAACACCAAGAATTTTTACAATAATCCCTTCAATTTTTTTTTATCTTGTTTGTATATAGAAGTTTAGTTATTCGTAATACAAAGTACAAAGGTTATTCAATTAAATTTAATTTAATGATAAAATTACATATTATATGTGCATTAGTAATAATTAATTCACCCACCCTGTTGGTGCGTCATTATATAGATAACATAATGATTCATTTTAGAATGCACATATCTACAATATTAAATTGAATTCAAAGAATTACTAAATGTTAAGTTCTGCAAATCAATATTATTCCACTTAAGGTGAAAATGTTTACTACAATGAATATTATTATAATTTCATTATCTACTTAAAATCATTTTAAAAGTGCATAATTGAAATATTTCATCATAATATAACTGATGTAGTATTGGAGGATTATAAAAATTTTTTAATATTTATTTTATAAATACTTTGAATATTTTGTGGGAAGTAGAAAATTTTAATTTTTATTAATAAAATAATTTTTTTACTTAATAAATTTGTAATAGAAATGCTGTATGCTGTATCACATGAAATTTAGTTGTATATCCATCAAATTCCCTCTAAGTTAACCTTTAAAATTATTTTATGAGGGTTTGATAATTTGTAAATCACAAAAATATTAAAAAAATTTAAGATAACATAAAACTGTTTTCAATACTTTGCCTCATCAGACTATGAATTTAATTGTTCTGTAATTTTTTCCCGAGCTTATCTTCTGCATACTAGAATTCTGAATGTATTCCAGTCTTTAAAATTATTTTAAAAATTTTATTTTTCAAAATTGCACGATTACAATAATGCTCAATATACGAGTATTGCACTATTGAGCCTTATAAATTACAATATTAAAATTGAAAATTTTGAATTAAATCCAAAAAAAAAAACAAAAAAATTCATTAAGCTCTAAATATTTCCATAAAAATTAGAACTAGATAATTTCATTATAGGAACAACTGACACCCTTTTTGCTTCTCTTGTCATGCATTTTTCCAGAAAGTTGATTGCCACTGTTCTATTCTACATTTTTTTTTTTAAATTTTATTATTCTTTAAATAAAAAACAAAATGCAAATATAAAATTGTAAAAAAAAAAAACTTTTCAAATTTTGTTACCAACTCTTTTCAAAGATTTCTTAATTTTAATATAATCAAAATCCGAAAATGTCCTTTTTTCGAATTCTCTTATATTACTTATTTGTCCTTTTTTCTTTCTTTCCCTTCATTTTTTTAATTTTTTCCTTAGCAAGACTGTATTATATTTTAAGTATTATTCCCGAAAAGTAACAAAAAAAAACAAAATGAAAAACAAATGTTAAAACTAAATTAAGAAAAAGAGAAATGTAAAAATTAAAAAAATAAGGATAAAGAGTATAAAAAAAAATTCCATTCTCGCATTTTACAAAAAAACAAATTCAACAATATTAAAATCACATTGACATTATTGAAAATAACTTTTTATTTCATCATGTTGAGCCTGTAAAAGTTTGTCTAAAGCTCAATACAATATATTTAAAAATTTTGACCTGGTGTAGAATATTTTTTAATATTAAGCTGAAATTAAATTGGTTGCACATCGTAACGTAATTTTTATCTAATTTTGTTATTTATTCACTTTCTAATATGCTTAAATCAAAAATTTAAAAAAAATGTATACTCTTACAGATCAGATTGTTCAATTTATTTTATATGAGTCAATAATTTTGTAATGAGATTGAAAATTTTCAACATATTTAGACCCTTAGGTCTAAGTGACTCATATAGAGCCTTATTATTTTTAATAATTCAAAATTTTATAAAAGAAATACAGAAATTTCGATAACAACATAATGATGTGATAAATCTTTTACGAATATAAAAAAAAGGACATAATAATTATATCATGGAATTTTTCAAAGGATAAATTAATTTTGATTCTTTTAAGAGTTTTCTTTTGACTTTATCCTATTTTTCTTTAATTTTTCAAATTCATTTTTAAATAAAATATTCCAACTGATTACGAAAATTTAAGTATACTCACATAATATTTCTGTCGCGACAGATAACTTTCAATTATTATTGAGAGGTATGTAAATCTCATGTATATGTATGTATGAACATGTATTTAAATAAATTAAAAAGACGGCAAGAAAATATTTGCCTTTTTTAAGCACTTTACTGAAAAAAATGCTTATTAGTTTTACTCTGTCCGTCCGTACACCCGTGAATATTTTTAGAAAACTTCTACACCTTTGAAGATAGAAAATGTAAATTTATATATACACATAGATCTTTACTAAAAACTTATTTCTGTAGAAGAAAATTTTTACCCATCTCCCCACACTCTAAAAGTTATATCCCTGCCATACCCCTGCCATACATTATTAAATATATAAATGCCATGCCATTAAAAAATGTAGTTATATTGCTTAGCTCACCCAAATAACCTTCAAATTCGAGGTTTATGTTAACGCCTTTTCAAGTTTTTTTTTTTGGTTCATCCTAAAGGTATGCAATCTTTGAAATATATTCTAATATGAATATTATTACTTCAAGTAAAATTAAAAGTAATTTTAATAATGAAGTAAATTGTTTTTAAAAGCAGTACTTCCACTTGTTGTTGGAAAAAATGCTACTTTAAAAACCATTGATTTGACCCAACTTTATAATCAAATTATATTTTAGTACAAAGTTTCATTCTTTATTGTCTGTTTTTCTCACATTTTCTTCGGTATTTTTGTTTTTTAATAAAAAGATTCAGCACAATTTATTATTATTCAAATTTCCATCTATACTGCATTACGTTAAATGTGGTTATACATTATATATATATATATATATTTGGTATATCTACAGTAAGTTAAAAATAAGAAAGGACAAGACAGAATAACAAAAAAAATTATAATAATAATAATAAAAAAACCAAAAGAAATAAAACTACAGTGACATAAAAATTAAAAATAAAACAAAAATAATCATAAAAAATTATAAAAGAAAAAAAAACAAGTCAGAATAACAAAAAAAAAATGACAAAAAAAATATTAAACTTGTGCGAAAATTCCAATAAAAATTTTCTCATTTCAAAATTTTTTTCTTTTTTTACAATAATAAAAAAAAAAACAAGATGATGGAATTTAAAACGCAACAAAAACAACAACATTATAAGATGAAAATGGAAAGAAAGTAAAAGAAAAAAAAAGGACTTGTTCAGAATAAAGGACATTTTGTTTGCAAAAAAACGGAAAAAAAAATTTTTCTTCGAACAGAAAAGAGAAAAAAAAACTTTGTTATTATTTCCAATTTTATTTTATTTTATAATTTTTTTTCTTTTTCTTATTTTGTATGTTAAGTAAATACAAAATTCTTTCACATCTCTCTTGTGCATTCCTAATGTGGTTTTATTCTTATATAACACACACACACACACACAATAATGAACAGAAGAACTATAACTACTTTTTTTTTTGACTTTTTTGTTATTCTTGCATTTTTCTTACGTGTTCTTTTTCTTTTCTTATATAGTTTTTTCTTATATTAAAAATAACACAACATGTATGAATTTATGCACAGTATATACAAATGTGTTATTACTATACATTATTGGATATATGCGTATCCAATACATACATGCGTATTTTATTGTATATAATAATAATATAGAGTAAAAGTTAAAAAAAGTATAAAATATTAAAATATTTGAGTAAGTACTGAATATTGTGTACACACACACAAATATAGATATTTATTTTAGCTATATCGGGAATTCCATGTTAGTTGTCGGAAGATAAATAATAATGAAGTATTTTCCAATATTAAATATAAGATTACTTAAATCAAGCTAGAAGATTTAAATTCCGTAACGTACTTGCGGAACATTTTAAGTTCAGATGGCGGGGCAAGTGTTGATATAGAAGACAAGCTCAAAAAGTTTTAGAAACAGTAACCTATGTAACCTATGCAAGCAGGATCCGATAGAAAATTAAATAAAAAAGCAAAAATATAGATATTCAGGTGATTGTTACCAATGGCCTACCAACGTTACGCCCAGGGTAGGCGTAACATTGGTAGACTTAAGAATACATGTTGAAGACCAATCCAATACAAAACAAATAACAGCTGCAGGTATGACTTGGGTGCAAATAAGATCTATTGCTAAAAATAGAGAGATATGAAGAGGTTTAATCGCATCCATATGCTCCTCAACAGGAGCTTGAATGAGAAAA